GCTATCAAAATTAGTTTTTGATTAACAATATGTACACTTCAAAGATTTCTTTTGAAACAGAAACTTGGTAACGGTGTTTTTGTGTGTTGCACTCGTCGTCATCCGATGTGTCGGCGACAGCGTCGTAGCCGTAGCGCGTAGCAACATTAGTTCGCAACTATATTCCGGCACTGTTGGTAAGCACAAACCATGTTTGCCCTCTAAGCATACAGACACGGAGACGGTTGCAAGACAAAAATATGTTCTAGATAGTGTAGTGTGCCTATGAAGAGTGAGATTTAAATGTGGTTTCGTAACCACATCACCTGGATGTTGCCCTGGTAGGTCGACGATAAAGTTTTATATAAATTGCAGCAAAGTTAGTTATCTAAGATGCAATTACTGCGGTTAATAAGAAGAGGTGTGTGCGCATGCGCGGTTGGCTGGGCCGCGGGCCGCGGGTCCGGCGCTGACATGGGCCCCGCCGCGGGGGTCCCTAAACGTCGGACCGGCTTATATAATAATTGTTGGCCGTTTTCATTTAACAACGTTTTTTTCTCGTTTCGTCTGCCATTAACACGCGGCGCGTCTCGGTCGGCGGCGCGGGCGCACCTCCGGGCGAAGTAATTTATTGCCGATTTGAAGGAAAATTGGTATTTTGTTATAAAATATAATACAGTGTCGCGTCCTGATGCAGCATTTAATTCGCATCGTTGCGTAGTTCTGCTTCGATTCCTTCGATACCATTTATAGACGCGAATGTGGCTTGTTTACGATTGCACCGACTACTTATGCGTAAAATGAATTGCAGAGGTCTCTTTCGATAGGACATTTCAGAATTAAAAGTAATTATTAGAGGTCTTATCGGCGGCGAGTTATAATATACGCATATTTAATGGAAGCTCGTTAGCGGGCGACGCCGCCGGCGGCGGCTGGGACCAGATAATAGAAATGTGGAAATAAAAACGAGTGTTTATGTGCGCGGACTATTCCGCAGTCGTGAGTTCACGCCAACTTATTATTTTGAAGACCAGCCAACGTAAACGGGCGTTGGCTTGCGGCCACCGCCATATATGGCCGTAAAAAATACCGATAGGTTTAATAAAAAACAAGTAATTACACATCTTCATTTGACCGTGATGCGCTGTGTTTTTGTACAGTGTTCCGGACGGGCAGGCGCGCTACAGCGGGCTGCGGCTGGGAAATGCTGCGAAAACATCCAGCGCCTGCTATAATTGCACACCACACACCAGTCCACCCTCGACACGCCGCGCTTATATGGCCACGTCGCTGACACTCGCCCGGTCAAACACCTTCCAGCCTTCACACCTTGCCTACACCGCCCATGACGTGCCACAACTAGCACATTGTCTCATAATAAGTAATGGTCAAGTCAATGAATATTTTCCTGCTCAAAAACAGAAGGAGAGAGACCGAAATAAAGGTCTAAGAAATAAGAACATCCATTATTGTTTTGTATATTGTTTCATTTTAAACTGATAGTTCCTACATATTTTTTATTTCTAAAGTAATATTTTGAATAATTGTTGCAGGTAAAGCATAGTTTTAAAGTATTTATGCTTAGTTTGACTAATAATATCGCAGAACCCGGCGACATCACCCTGTATAGACGAGGATCAGCTGAAGCAGTACACGCTGTATGCGGCGCGAGATTCTCTACACACTCGATAAATGAATATCGATCGATTCAATGTAATTGTGTGCGCAAAAACGATGTCGACTGCACACAGGATGCGAACCAGATGTAAGCTGACAGCGATTCCTATCATTTAAGTCAAATCATTTTTTTTTATAGCTGACTAGCTGAATTTGTATTGACTAACTTATATGTAGATAAGTAGGTACGTAGGTATAGGTGAAGGCTTTGAGCGCTGCTCTATGCTTAGATCACATTCCTCATTCAGGTGTACTATAAAGAGTGTCGTCTATAGTATGTAGTTATATACCTATTAGTCAAGTTTTATGAAACTCGGTCGTGTGAAAGTTGTAAATTATATCGGTGGAACTATCGTTTCAATGCATCTAAATGTACTTACTTGATGTCACAAAGACAAGTTCTTTTTAATCATTTAGTCGTTTTAAAAATCTTTTTTAATGCGGTGTAAGTAAGTATTTAATAAATGTACATCCTCGGTGGTCTCTACAGTACCCGCCCATCGCCCGCCGCTCTGGTCTTCTCCTCGCGCCGGTAATTATGCATATCGACGCACGCATTACCCGATTTCGTTACATTTATCCGTTGCGCTGCTAACAAAAACAGCAACATATGACGTATTGATATAAATTATCTAACACGCAAGCTCAGTAATGAATATTTAAAACTGGGTAATGAAGAGGCGTAATTTCGCCGTTTGTTTCTGTTTGCATTTAAATTGTGTGTAAGCTGTAACGTGATGATGACGTGTAATGGTTTAGTGTGAGCTGAGTAACCCAGGAACGGAACCCACACAGTGTATCTACAAACGGTGTAGTACAGACAGGAAAGAAATAATTTCGCAACTCTCAAAGATAACTTTGTGTTCCGTACCTTCAGATAAATAAATTACATAGTCCTATAGTACCTAATGGAGAATTACAAGTTAACGACCTGAAGGTATACAATTGCTCATTTGGTTGTAAATGAAGTGTGCTGACTAGATAATTGTCTATAAATACATGTAAACTGTGACAAAGGGTAGCTACGGAGCGTCTTGTCTACACCAACTTGTCGATTTAAAACTATTTATTTAATTTCCGCACGTTCTGCTGGGACTTGTATTAGCATATTACAATGTTAATATTAACAGCAAGCATAGACTGTCTTGGGGACTTCTGAATGGGTAGACGGGTTTAATTCTCTATTGTAAAATAGTTTTTTGTCATTTCGTTTATTTTTTTTTCGATAATGAAGTATGTACTGTGTCTCTTCTGGTTTTCATTCGTTACAAAAACAACACAGCTCTTACAAAATAAGGTTTGAAATGCTATATCGCGTAGCTTAAAATCTAGAGAAATATTCTTTGAGCCTCTCACATCGGTGTGTCCGACATAGCTAATTGAATAACTTACATCAATGAAATTAGCATAATAGCGGCTCTGTTTTAGTGCACATTTAAAGTAGATCTAGAAGTCTAAACTAGATTGAGATTTCATTTTAGAAATTATTTCAACTTTCGAGATAAGTATGTGTGCTGAGGACATTTTTATCAAACTACTCTCTCTTGTGGTGGGCGCAAATTTTTTTTAATTTATTTGAACTCTTACGAACGATTCTGAAATGTGTTTGATTCAAAGATCCATTTCCTTTTTCATTTACTATTTATAAATGGATTTTACTTTACGAAAACGATATCAAAACTTTTTAAAATGTATTAAATGCCTCCAGTACGTCGAACTCGACCCACGGCGTTATAAATTTCCTTCTCTCAATGGGGGCCTGAGTACTGTGAATGGTCGAGTCGTTTCACAATTTTTCTAACCATCACTTGATGTATAAATGCGTTGATATCGCAAGTGATCCTACGCACCAGATACACGTCAAACGGTAACTATTGGTCGGCCCGAGCAGACGGGCGGTTGCTACGCTCAGAATATAACAGATATCGATTAGTTTGACTTGACTGCACGGTTGGCGCAGTGGCTGGGCAACTGGCTGCTGTGCAACGTGTCGCGGGTTCGATTCCCGTACGGAACAACACTTTGTGTGATCCACAAATTGTTGTTTCGGGTCTGGGTGTGTTGTGTATGTGAATTTGTATGTTTGTAACCGCTCCCACGACACAGGAGAAAATCCTAGTGTGGGGCAACGTTTTTAAAAAAAAAGAAAAAAAAAAGAGTTTTTCTAAATTTCTAATTTGACGAGTAATACCAGAGCGTTGTTTTTATTGTTAATAAGGTAAAGAAGAAAAAAATGATTCAATATTCTGACTCTTCCTCTGTAAGTTTGGTAAAGTTTCTTTGGTAGTTGTAGCATACACCATGTCGTAACTGGTTTTATCCATAAGTTCGTTACTGGACTAGTGCTCACTAGCGATTGGACGCCGGCTTACTCGAGTAGCAAGAACAACATTTGTAGTGGCGAAAACAAGCTCGATATCGTCTCGTAAAGATGTCAAATTTATGAAGAGAAAACGCCCGCGTGCAGCCGCCCTGGACATAATTACTGCGCTGTATCGCGACGCCAATGAAAACCACATCTTTATGTACCCGTTACGCAGATAAACCTAAAATGTTGATGGCTGTACGCCGTCTCTATTGCCTACGAGATAAAAACTATATAAAAACAAAACTAGCCGACCGTGGCTGAATTCTACGTGTTTTTAATGACACCCACTTCACTGGCATTTCACATAGTATTAAGAACAATAAACTATGTACAAACTGTGTAATAAGAAATGGATTAAAAATATGAGAAGCCTTTAGTTTTTAATATCTCATACTTCTAATGTCACTGCCAGAAATTATACCCGTATTCAACTTTTTATGCCCGTGTAAGACCATCTGTACACCAAAGTTTCTAGGTGTGCCCCAGCTACCGCTGCAGTGAAACGGTCCTTGTCACCGCCATTAATATCTTTAAGGATTTAAGGTGTGAGTTTGTACAAGGCGTCGTGTGAGTTTAAGCGGAAAACCATGGAAAGTGTGTAAAGTGTATTGCAGTAAAGCTTTCATTCAGCACGGATGTCAATTGACTCGAACAAAGACGAGTAATGTGTTACCAGTGTAACAACACACGTAGGACGCCAACTTATTTGTGTAATGTCCATCGATAATAACCTGTCATCTCTTCTTCTGGCTTTCCCCACGACCTGCTGAGGGCTGATCAGTGTTAAAGTATTGACCACTGAACATGGAACACGCAGACACTAAGTATACTTCAATAATTAGGTATTTATGCATTGAGTTGTTGAGATCGCAAGCTTTAGAACTTGATTCAAGATTCTAGAATAGACTACGGGTTTTAGAAACCTTTTTTTTTTAAGAATATGTTAAAAAATTAATCGAAGTGTACCAATTCTTACGTCAAGTCCTCAATGGCCATAATAGTGTTATCAGCGTTTTTGCGCGTCGCGGCGGCGAGCACGCAGCGCAGGCGCAGGCGAGGCGCTCCAAGCGACGTAAGACGCGGGGAGGAGGGGGCGGTGAGGCATGTTGGACTTGTTTTAATTGGCTCAAGGAAGCACGCTTCAACGACTCTAGCGCAGCCAGACCTGCCTGTATCTCAGAGAGAAAATTTATTGTTCAATGCTAGAATTTGCTTCTCGTGCCAGTTATTGCGCCGAAACACTGGCAACACACGACGTCACTCAATGATCTATTAGTTACATCATTAGGATTTGATTAAATGCAACGATATCGAATGCAGTAGGTATCCGGGGCACGAGTCTGTAAAATAAAGCGTGTTCGTGATTTACTTTAATAGTAATATAAGTGAATCATTATTGCAATTATTCAGACGCACATAAAATGAATGATGAAGCAGCTCAAGCTACATGTTAAATGAGCAAATTATGTCCATTTGATGTATTCATTAGGCTAAATTAGCGGCGGGCACGCGGTACACTTACGACGCCGATGTGAACGGACGCAAAAACAAACGCAACGTAAACACCAGATAAAGTGGATTAATGGACTTCTTATAGTGATACAGGACGGGTCTTGAAACACTGACATTGCTAATGTTCATAGTGACTATTTCTGTAGACGAAATGGGCCTATAAGTCATATTGTTTAAGTGTTAAATGTTAGGAGAGATGAGTTCATGAAAATGTTGAAACCGTTGACAGCTGCACCTAATGTCATATAGAGTAACTACCAGCTTGCGCCACACAAGTGATTACCCAAAACTAACCTACCGCACGACACACGACGTGAATGATTGAATGGTTATGCAAAATAATGGAATCATTACAAACATCGGTCCTACACCCCTTGTCTGTACGCCGAGCCGCTTCAAATAATTAATAATGACAATATAACGGCGCGTGCGCATGCTAATTGATCGTGAGTTATTTAAATAAGCGAGAGGAAAAAAATCTCGTACGTTACAATTATGACAGCCACTCGCCTCGGGAATAATGCTAAGAATTTATTTGAATTACAAATTGAACATACAGCAGACAGTTTTAGCGCGGCGCGAATAAATAATTTGATATTATGCTAAGTGATGATACCACAGTTAAACGCCGCGAACGACCTTGACATAGACCCATAAATAAGAATATCTTAACCACTCATACATATGGACGGCGGTTCGCACACTCAAATATGGTAAGTGCCGGCTTATGAATAAATTTTATTATTTAAAACTCGGTTTGTTCATTACTAAAACAAATACTCGTAAGGCGTAGTAATACAGGCTGTTTCTGTTTGCGGTGCAGCTCGAGGGTGGTGCAGCCTGCTGCAGCCGCGCCCTCTGCCGGCCTCTGCTTGCCGTCACCGACACGTCGGTGGATAGTGTTTAATATGGTTAGATGCGGAGGTGATATTTTTACGTCGAGCTCCGGTAGGTTTAGCGTTAAACGTTCAAGGTGAGCGGGGTTGTGTTGGTTGAGTCGCGGGCTGCCTGCGCCCACGCATGTCCCAAACGCGCAGGGTTGCCAAACCCGAATCATACGCAAGTTTAAGTATTACCTAATACTAAAGCAATATATTCTAAATATAGTTCCTCTAATGCAGTCTCTTTTTCAAAGTTTGTGTTGTAATTCAACGTTTTATTAGAACATTTATTAGAGACATATCAGTCATTTATATTATATCTAGCAAGAATATGCATTTTATCGGCATACAACGTCGAAATTTCTTAATGCGAATCGATTTTTAAATTACACACTCATCTTAGTGATCCATGGAGTATCGTTTTGCGTTGCTATTATCTATAGGTTTAGTGTTTCTGATCAATAATGGACTTTCAGATATTACAGTAGGTATATAAGAGTGAGTGTAACAGCAATGGTGTCTTGTTCAAATATTGTCGATGCGCGGTTCGAAGCAGAATATTCGCGCAGATGTCGCGCTAGCCCTGCGCCACGCTTACGTCACGCGCTATCTGGGATACAGAACAATGCTTGCTATCTGCCTATCGAAACGCCATTACGTAACCACTAACATCTCTATCGGTTGCATAGGCGTTTCCTTGGGACCGCTATCTCGAGCGGGCGGCAATGACATTTCAAATGTTACAACTACTATTTTATTCGTAACTCAGGTCGCATTAGTGGTGACCTCGTGTTGACAATTCGAATTTTCTACTAAATATTTATTCCACTTGTCACGCATAGAATTAATTTCGATTTATCAGCAATCTAGCACGGCGACAACCAATAACGAGACAGCCGCTTAAAAGTAAAACACGTATATTGACATATCATTCAGCCGTAGGTACAAGTTGTTCACAAAGAAATAACTTTATCACTCATTCATTTACGTGTTTTTTTAATTAACAATACCTAGTCACTATAGGTCAGTGGTAGTTTCGGTACAAGTTACTGACAAAGTGTTGCAGCAGCTTTACCTCAAATAGAGAGCACCCTGTAATGGCAATTCTCACGACCCGGAGCGAGATCACACGCGCACACTCTACTCACAATAAAAACAAGACAACAATCGCTGTATTTCCATTAAACAAATTTGTGAATACGTAATGCTGCTCAACGCGAACGCTTCATATTATTAATATTTATAGAATCGCTGGCGATTTGAATAGATCGTTGATAGCGCTCGTTAGCGCCGACTACTGATCACATCTCGATCTGTTGATGTTTGTTGTTACCAATTAACTTATCGGAAACGTCATACCATTTTTTGTAACGTTTAATATCGCCGTACGTACCGGCTGCCGACTTATTTGAGTATTATTATTTAGTTCACATTGACGCGTCATCTTGATAGTGGACCTGCGTAATTGACAGTTACGAAGGCGTCTGTGCTTTAATTAAATTTCGTAGGAACACTATGCGTGAGTGATGCCCAGGACGTCGAGGGAGCGCGGGGCGCGGGGCGCGGGCAGGCGGCTGCAGGGTGCCCATTCATACAGAGCCATCCATTCATTGATGTGTACCTCGATGGGAGCTCTGGTTACTGAATACCATCATAATGTTTATGAGCTCTTAACGTTATCACAGCGAGTTCTACGGTGGAGGAACTTCCTTGCTGTGTTTATTTGTTTCCGTGTTTCCAATACTTACAGGAAACGGTAAACAAATACAAGTTACATTTATAAAAATAAATGTGTTCGTGTTAATAAACACACATTCATATTCTAGAGTTAGTAAATCTTACCTGTTACGAATAAGCGATTTATAATAAAATGTATAAACTATCCGGGAATACTCTGTTTGAAAGGCTTTTTATAAAAGTATTTGTTGATATTACCGATTTCAACGAAATTACGAGTCTAACTAGGACTAAGCCTAGTGAACTTGGATACCTATCTATAGCCAATGACATCAAGAAACCAGTAGAGAATAAAAATTGATGTGAACCGAACTAAATATGATTTGGACATTAAACAAGGAAAGGGTTAGAGTGTGGTATAAAGGGTGTGTGGAGTATTACGTTATAGTAAACACATGAAACGTATTAATATTCCGTGGTGCTGGTGATCCCGGTAACGTAACGACAAAGGGAAGGATACAGTGAACGTGCCTCACAAAGCGGTGCACGATATTATCCTCAGGTTTTTGTGCTGCCGTATTAGGAGTGACGCCGACTCGACATCGCGACTGCGACGTCTACACACTCTCTATAAAAACTAACGTTTGTTTGTTGTATTGTTTGTGTTTGTCTGTCTCTCGCTACTGCACGTAACTCCTCTATGTCCCTTATTGGAATCCGTTTCAATGATTACATTTTATGTTTTATTTGACTGATTCTTGCAATGATACTGTGTTTTTTGTAAAACTTAAGGAGCCCTTGCCATTTAGTTTGGACATAATCTATAACATCAAATAACATTTTAAATTTAACTGAAGATATTTAAAAACCTAACCAGACACGTATTCAGTCCCCAATTGTATCAGTCGTGTCGCAAAAGTAAATAAAAAAACTTCACACCGGTAATCCCAGAACATGACAACACACAAAACTAAAACCGTCAACTTACATAACGCAATCAACGTATCGTTTATTTCTAAACGCTGCAGACAAATCCTTTTGTCACACACGCCAACCCTAATGGAATAGCACATTCGCCCACTACTTTATCACAACGGCTTAAGATTCAAAATACTTTGTGTTGTTTGAAGTTTGGAATTGTGTAGGTACTAAGACCCGATTAGGCGAGATAGGATAATTCTCGATTCGTCGTCAATGCTCGCTGTATGTGGCGCGCGACAATGTACCTTAAATACATTAGTTTATTGCGCGCTGCCATCCCAACACGACAGATACAGAGGTGAGATGATTATACGCCGATACCAGATATTCTCGGAATGATCGACGAGATATGGAAACTAGACGATTTGACACAACATGCTGCGACTATTTCTCGGCTCGTTTTGTCAATGGCAGGAACACTTCTACCAGCCCGGCAGACATCATTAATTTGACGATACGCCTTTGACAAAATGTGTACATTATGAATTTGATATTGTGCTTTCAAGATACAAATGATACATTGAACATATTTACCAGAATCCTTGACAATGTATGACACGCAGGTTACGAATAGATGCTGCAACTTATTTCCCACTAAAGAAATATCCACACGGCGATTTCTTCAAGGACTTTGCTGACATTAACCATTGTTTACTGGCTAGTTATTACTGATACTTTCATAAAACATCAGTTTCTGCGGAAGTATCAATGATAGCAACGATTCGGAAGTCAGATAGCTTAAATATATTGTGAGAAAAGCCGAAAAGGTCACGCCCGACGCAAGGTCAAGAGCTGACGAGAGATAAGGATCAGACGAGATGCGAGGGAACGTGTCCCAAACCGTGGGAGTGGGGCACAATGCTCTTTGTAACGCCACCAAATAAATTCTCTTACATAATTGTGGCAATTAAAAGTTTTATGCGCTCGCGCACCAAACACCGCGCGCCGGAGATTGGAGATGCTCGAACAGTTCCGATGCGACATTCTGATCACTTGATAACGTGGCCACAGCTTTCCATGCTCACATATGAGACAGGTGCTGGGGAAAATTGATGAGAAAGATTCCGTTACGACTGCTCCGTTGTTTATGGTAACATATAAAATAGATATTGTTATTGGTATGTCGACCATATCACGAGATAATAACTGAAGTAAGTGACACGTGTATTCGAAAATGAACCGCTAAACAGATTTAACAATAAAACAACAATTTTGAGTTACCTTCTCTTCCTATGTGTGTAAAAACAATCACAGTGTATATTCGTATATACAAGAGTGTGAACAGTTGAAACTTCAGAGTATAATAATATTATCTGCGAGTGAGTGGTGGTTGCAGTGATATCGCCGGCGGCTATCTACACATAATATCGTAGTGTCCATTGTTTTGAATGTATAATTTCCCACGTGGTCGCGGTTCCGTAGCGCGTAGTAATGACCTCAGATCAGCTGATACCGAGCTTGATCTTGATTGATAAGTTTATTCTCTTTAACAACTACCCTCGCTGCTGTTATTAAGTATTATATTAAATGTCTCGCCACTATTGCCAGCTGTTGCTGCTTCGCGTCATTAAGTGCAGCATATTCAGGGTTTTTGCTCAAGTCCACTGAACATGCCACTGCTATGCCAACTGATGCAGACAATGTAACAAGAAAGTATACATCGTAAGTAGCTAGCGAGGACACTAACATTGAGTCCATCAGGTTTTCCTTCACTTAAATAGGAAAAATACCAAACAGATATAAAACACGGAAGCGCCGTCCTATCAAGCACATATCGTGCCGTATCCTTTGTTGCTGCGTGTGCGCACACTGAGGAAACACCTTGGCTCGTGACGTCACGCGCCGCCCGCGCCGCGGAGGACGCGTCGCCGCCGTGTGAACGCTGATACCAGCGATGTGTTTGAATATAAACTTCTTAGAGAAAATGTTACCGCCGTGAAGGTCACGACAATTTATTATTTATTGTTATACGACACTCATCTGGGAAAATGAAAAATAATACGCATTTGTTTGATTGTGGCGCAACCACTTTGCATTGAGTTGGTAATGAACTTGATGCTCATGAAAAACGGCGATGTGATAAGGAATTAACAACTAATGGCTGACTTGACATGGAGCCAGTAGACCTGGGAGATAAACTACATGTACATGTTCTCACATTTTTAGGAGCTAGTGTAGATAGGATAAAATAGCGCAAGTAATAGAAAAGGAAAGAAAATATTCTAACGAACGACTATCCCTATTATGTATTTCTGACTATTATACTTATAGAAAGTGTTAAATTGTGGGTACTTCAGCATTTTTCTCTTCCGTTGGAAGTAAACAGCTTGACTAGTGTCCGAGCGAGGCACGACTCGGCACGAGCCACAATCGTCGAATCAATTACATATTTCAAAACAAACATCAAAAACTTTCTAAAAGCGAACTGTAATAAAGACGTGATTACGGTCCAATCAGACATCCGACCTGCGACCTCGGGTCACTCGACAATTAGCCAAAATCGAATGCCATTCTAACG